GAAATCCTTCAGGGATGGGGATGGCAGGGATTAATACTCGGCTAGATGGTCCCTCAGGACCATTTGCCAATGCTGTGCCCCATTTTCTTTATTCTTTGCTATTTACTTTTATTTTTTTCTGGGACCTGGGTGGTGTTTAATCTCATTTGGCAGTTATGGATTGTCTCCAAAATAATCAATGTTTGTGCATTCATCTGCATCGCTCAGCTGATCCCACAGGGATGAGCATGCATTGCTGGCGGGAGCCTCGGGCAGAGCATCCCTGCTCTCACTGGCCAAGGAACCAACTTTGCTCCATGTTTCCAAGGAGGAAACAAAACCTTTGGTGGTAGCAGGCAGCTCTGCCTCAAATGCATTTCGGTGCCGTCGGGAAAATACCCTCTGTCATCCTGCAAATCAGGCAGAAAATGATGCTCCCCATGCCCTCCCTCCTGCCCGTGCCCTTTGTAGAGGCACGCACGTGTGAGGATGGAGAATCAATGGATCCAGAATCTGCACATCGGAATATTTCCCCAGTGTTTCATCTTGTATCAAAAATCACTACAAAAATACAGCCCTGCCCTTTTGTCAGAAGGAAAACACCCAGAGTTCAGCAAACTGCCAAGTTTTTCATGTTTAAATTTCCACTGGCAGCTGCTCTCCGCAGCATCCCAGCCAGTCAAGCACCCCGTGGGATGCAGGCAGCCCCAGAGCTCCGGATCCACGCTGGCAAATCTTCCCAGGTCGGCATCCGCGTGCTTTGAGCTCGTCAGGATCTGTCACGTCATCAGCTGCGCAGAGGGCAACCAAGTCATGCGAGAAACGGGCATTTCTTAAAAAAATACAGGACCCGAAGCGTGAATCGTGGCTGAGTCACTGAAACACGAAACTCACTAAAAGGATGAATTAGAGCTATTAGAATATAGAGGTAATTACTCATGTGAACAATGCCCTGCTCGACTCTTTAATGATTACACAAATTAGTGCATAAAATTATGTTAATGGCTCTGCAAGAGGCACATCCACCCAGCCCGCCGGGCGGGAGGGGACGCAGAGCTGAGCCAGGTCCCCCTCGGCACCCAGGAGCAAAGAGAGCGCCAGGAGAGGCTGCAGCCCGTCCTGCGGCTCTGCCAGGCTCTGTGCCTGCCCTGTCCCGCAGCTCTGCCAGGCTCCGTGCCTGTCCTGCGGCTCTGCCAGGCTCTGTGCCCATCCCGCAGCTCTGCCAGGCTCTGTGCCCATCCCATCCCGCAGGCTCTGTGCCTATCCTGCGGCTCTGCTGCACTCCAGGACCATCCTGCAGTTCTGCCAGGCTCTGTGCCTATCCCATCCTTCAGCTCTGCCCTGCTCCATGCCCATCCTGTCCCACAGCTCTGCCAGGCTCCGTGCCCGTTCTGTCCTGTGACTCTGCCCTGCTCTGTGCCCATCCCGCAGCTCTGCCAGCTGCTGTGACCACCCCACGGCACTGCCAGGCTCTGTGTGTATCCTGCAGCTCTGCTGGGCTCCAGGACCATCCTGCAGCTCTGTCCTGCTCCATGTCCATCCTGCAGCTCTGTCCTGCTCCATGCCCATCCTGCAGCTCTGCCAGGCTCTGTGCCCATCCCATCCTGCAGCTCTGCCAGGCTCTGTGCCCATCCCATCCTGCAGCTCTGCCAGGCTCTGTGCCCATCCCATCCCACAGCTCTGCCAGGCTCTGTGCCCATCCCATCCCACAGCTCTGCCAGGCTCTGTGCCCATCCTGCAGCTCTGCCAGGCTCTGTGCCCATCCCATCCCGCAGCTCCACTGGGTTAGGACAAAACACTGCAGGGACCATGCAAGTGGCACGTCACTAACTCACCTTCAGGCGTGTGGGAGAGGGGTTTTAAGGAACGTTTATTACACAGGGACCTGCCTGGAATCTTCATTTTTCCTAATAATTCAGTTTTGTATTTGAAACCGCTCCAACTGCAATTCCAGGTAAACTGCTCTTCCCGTGCAGGTGCAGCGAGGATCATTCTGCACTCGACGTGGGGGACTCTCACCAAAGCTGGGGCTCTTTTAAGCCAATCTAGAAATGACTCTAATTTTGCTGCATAGCTAAAAACTCTGCTGTTATCAAGAGCAAGAAACCTCACGGCACAACCATCTCGCACAGATCAACAAAAGAATCCCCTGTACCAAAGCAGAAGTTTCTGTTAGGAAAAAACACCCCAAACAAACAAGAAAAGAAGAAAGAACCCAAAACCTCAAACTGTGGTTTCTAGGAGAAACCACAGCTTTTCTAACCGTTTCTATTTCAGAGCTAGTGTTGGGTTTATTAAGTCCGGGGCTATCAGGACGATGTGCAATTAAGGAGAGATTCCCTCCCTCTCCAGGGCGCTTTCCCGAAGTGCTGGCACAATGAAGGCAGTATCGGCCGGGCTGCCGGGCAGCTGCACGGCCCAGGGCGGCCCAGAGGGGCCACGCAGCCCCGGGGCGCACAATCGGCCTCAGTTGTACCAACAAAGCGGCACTATGGCAGCGCAGGAGCATCGCAACAGGCAGATCCCTGCAGGAGCGGCGCGGCTCAGCCAGCGCTGCCTGCTCGCTGCGCAGCACAAACCCACCTGCTGCGGGATGGAGAAAGGATTTAGGAGAGGGGGTTACGCTCGGATGTCCTCTCTGCTTTAACAAAGGCGATTCCATTTCCCTACCCCTTCCCACCTTCTTCAGGAAGAATGGAATCTCAATCTTCATTTCAGGAAGAACATGTTCATGAAAGAAGACACCTGGTGCCTTGGCTGGCATCTGTTGAAATCCTAGCAAATACCTACCCGGAAAAGGTGCTGGTGGAACAGCCACCATGGGCTGCCTGCCTGTAGCCAGCCCATTCCCATTAATGCATCGTTATTATGGGATATTAAAATCCTAAAACGTGATTATAGGATATTAAAATCAGTGCCAGCTTCACCCACCAGCCCCAGCTGGGTGAGTGGATGGCTCCCAGGAAGCAGATTTCCCACGGGGGAAGTCAAACAGGCACTTACTCAGATTCACTTTCACCCTTGGGGAAGCTGAAGGGCAAAAGAGACGGCACCAGGCTCCGCGGGTTGTGCCAGGCACGAGTGTTGCTCCCAAAACTCACCGACTCCTCAGCACCTCTGTCACAATGTTAATGAACTCATAACGTGGTATAATTAAAAACTGAGAGTGTGTCAGGAGGCACAGCCTCCTCCAGTTAACTTCTCCTAATGCTGTCAAACCTGGTTCATAGCACATTTCTGAGATATTAATTTAATTCCTCTATTTTATGTCAATCAGAGAACATGATGTTCCCCCCGAGGACGGTAGAACACTCTGGATCAGAATCTGAAATTAAAACACAGGGCACTTGGGGAAAGCCTTGCTTCACCCTGTGGTTTCCCTGCTCCAGCACTGCCTGGCTGGCTGCTCGCATCACGGTGACAGAAACAATTTTACAGGAAAAAGGGAATGTGGGAGAGCTCCACACTGGGAACTGGTTTATTACAGGATCTCAAAGCGTTTCACAAACACCACAGCTGGGACACAGAGAACAAAATGAGTGGGTGATGCTGGGGCTGGAAGAGACCAGCAGCTCCTCCTGGGGTGACCCGAGCTCTCCCCTTGGAGGGGGAAAGCCAGAAGGAGAATCCAGGAGTGCTCTGTTCCTGCCCATTCTCCAGGTGAAATGGAAAGGCAGCCTCTCCACACCACGGGGAGGATCACAGCCTTCTGCCAGAGGTGCGGTCCCCACCACAGACTCTGTGTCAGAAGCTCTCCAGGAAGGTGGACTCCAGGAACACTCCACAAAGCCCCAAGTAGAGAACACTGCGTTCCCACCTCCTCCTCCTGGCAGTGCCCTCCCAGAGCATCCACAGGGTGATCCAAACCACTGAGATAATCTCAGGAGCAAACAATCCTCAGGTAGTTCCCACTCCACACACAGATGAGACTTGGAGCACATCCTGCACCCACTGGCTCCCTGGTGCCAGAAACAGCCTTGACAAATTACAGCCTTCCTGAGCCTCCAGCACACACCTCGTACAAGGAATTCTGAGTTACAGCCTTCCTGAGCCTCCAGCACACACCTTGTACAAGGAATTCTGAGTTACAGCCTTCCTGAGCCTCCAGCACACACCTCATACAGAGAATTCCACATCCTACTCAGCTGAACTGCCCCCGAAATCGGTGTTCCAGACACCCATGAGCTCCTGGTGAACCTTAGAGGCACCAGCTCTTCCTGGACTCCCTGGCTCAGAACTAAAACCTGTAAGGGGGGACAGTGACCCCCTGGGTGTGCCAGGGTCCTTCACCCCTCCTCCCCGTGGGTGCTTTGCAGAGGGATCCTCTCCACACTCCAGTCCTGGCACACCAATCTCTTCAGGTATGAAACACCCTGAGCACACCTGTACCCTTTGAAATCACTTTCAGCTTCCTTCACTGCCCGTGATGGACCAGGGCAATTCCCAGCACTTTGGGGTTTTTGGGCCAAACTTCACCTTTGTTGCCACAGAGCCCCCACTGCCCCCATTTCCCAAATCCTCACCAACTTCTCCAGCGACAGCCACGCACCTTCCCCAGTGCCACGGCCTCCTTTGGAGATGCAGCCCACGGGGGCAGGTGCCCTGGGCCAGCCTGGCCATGGGTGCCACAGGGCTGCAATCCCATGCCCACAGCTCAAGGACACTCACAGGAGCCCAGCTCCTGCTCCATCCTCCCACACCAGAAATGGTCACACAGACCAGTCCTGCCCCATTGAGCCCCAGGACGAACCCATAAATCCCCCATTTCCCCCATGTGATCTCCTACCAACACCCAGCGCTCCTGCCTTTAAAAGGAGAGAGAATTCATTCTTTTCCCCTCCCCAACTACTAAATTCCACCCATTTCCCAGGGAACTGATCCTTTATTGAGGAGAAGCTCAAACATGGACGTTTCCTGCGGAACACTCCGGCTCTGTTCCACACAAAAGGCTTTTGTCCGGATCCCCAACGCGAGGGCGGCAGGCGAGGACGAGACTCTGTGACCAACGATGACACGGGGCGTGTTTTTGTAAAAATTTTATTTGTCAAAGAAAAAAAAGCAACGGCCAATTGAAACCTACGTCATCTTTAACTCCAATTTTGGTCTTTAAATTTAGAGAAATGACTTATTTACTTTTATTTTTTTTAAACAAACCCCCCTTTTTCCCCTTTAAGGTTTACCATCTACTCGTGCTGAATCCTTCCAAGGAGATTGCTCCAGCGTACCTCTCCAGGTCCTCGCTTTGCTCCTTTTACCAAAAAAATGCAAAACTCCATCGTGCATCTTAAGGGCTCCAATCGTCAAAAATAGGAAAAAAAATATCTTTGGAATAGCCAATTGAGTTGAATAAAAAAATCCACACGAATGCGGTTTGGTTGGGGCAGGAATCCACTCCTATGTTCCTGGTAATTTGATCCCGCTCCATGAATCCTTGTAATTCAGCCTCCCTATCCTATCCACATTATGATTTGAATCCAATGATCCAGCTCCAAGGATTGGGATCCAGTGAGCCCTCTCCAATCCAAACCTTTATAACCAGCAAAACCAAAAAAGAGGAGGCAAAAAGTTAGATACTGTAATGAAAAAATAGGATTCTGGGGAATGATCAGTTATGTTTGCCATCAATTAATTCAGATGTACAGTAATAACTATCAATTCCCCAAAACAAACTTTCCAATGGTGATGCTCAGATAATTTCTTTAGAAATGTTAATTACTATTTGGAGGAAACATTGTAAATATTTACAATATGTCAACTGGAAATGCCAACATACTCAGCGCATTGGTGGGTACGAGGTTTTGTGGTTGTAAAAAATGGTTTTACTAAACTGGAAAAGCTTTAACTGCTCGGTCTATCCACCTACTATGGAATGGCTGGACTACAGCTGCACTCCCAGCTGGAGGGAACGTTAACAATCAGTGTTTTCACACGGATTGTGAGTCAATCGTGAATTAGTCTGAGGGGGAAGGGCTGAGACTTAAACTATTCCCCACTAGGTTTGCTATTTTTATTTTGCTTTCATTCTGGTACTTATAAAAATGCAACAGCCACGCTGTATCAGTCACACAGAGGACATGCAGATTTTAGCAGTATTGATATTATACTCTGATTGCAAGTTCTACTACAAGTGTACGGATACTACGGACATGGACACTTGTAACCAAACGCTGCAGGACAAATAAACCAATACTCCCCCCCCGGCCCCGGTTATTCCTTTAAAAAACTAGAATGGAATAGAGAATTACAAAAGCAGGGATTTGGCCACAATTGCCCCCCCAGAAAAGGAAGTTTTAAAAGAGAAGAGCAATCGCAGCCTGCGGTCACGAGAACATGCCTGAAGCGACACGTGGGGACACGTAGGTGCTCGGCCTCAATTCCCCTGTCTCTCAGTATAAGGTCAATACTGCCAAGTTCATCTGTGACAATAGCACTTGGAGTCATACCATTGCCTCCATTATTGATCTGATCCTCCTCAATCCTCCTTTTGACAATCCTAAAATGATTGACATGTGCTCCACAATCCTTTAATCCAAAGCATTCTTAATCCATCTCTTCAGATATGTCTACAGAAAGACACACGAAAAGGCAAGATAAAATGTAAGATCCCCCAGAAGAGACAAGTTAGCCACAAACATCCCAACATCCCCAGCTCGTCTCGACCACAGCGCAACACTGAGACATTTACACAGCAATACCACGGCTCCAAGAATGTTGGTATTGAACTAGAACTAAACCGGAACAATCCTGACTGACAGCAATTAAAATACAATTTACCAAAGACAGGAGGGGAATGTCGGTGTGGAGGAGCAAATACTCACTAGGGATTTTACACAAGAATGCAATTCAACACTTCAGCCAATTCGAGTAAAACAGTTGGAATTTAAAAAAAAAATGAAAGACTGTACTAAGTAAAGGAAAACTGTGTACAACATGGGGTTCTACAAAAAGATCAGAGCTAGAGTGATGTTTATGTACGAGATCGGGATCTGCTGTGGCGGGGAGAGTAGCGTGGAGATCCTCTGCTTCTTCTTGGGGAATAACTGCGGCTTCTGCTGTTGCTTCGACTATGGCTCCTGCTACGACTACGGCTGCGGGACCGAGATCTTCCATAGCTTGGGCTTCTTGGGCCATCAACTTTAACACGGATGTAGGCAGTTTCTCCCTATTGAATAGACAGAACTTTCGATTGAAACGTCGAGGCTTCAGGGCCATGTTTCAGGCATGCTGACAGACTGCAGACAGCGTTACTACGGCCGGGACAGACAGCAGAGCTTACACGTCTATGTCCAGCCTGACCACACACTTATTTAGCTGCTTTATAACCAAACAATGAACACCACACGTTCCTTACCTTCAAATCCTACTGTTAAGCCCCTTGTATCCAATTCTGGCCAAAGAAAGTAAGTGTGATACCTACCTCGTGAGATCTAAATTTAGTGTTATCCAGCTTTCGCACAGCGTAGGTCATGTCTTCCTTCCGCACAAACTCCACGACACCAGTGCCATCTCGGAAAACATCAGCATAACATACATCACCTGCTTCACGCATGTGATCCTTTAAATCCTGCCAACTTCCACTTGGAGGCAGCCCTACAGAAAAACCAAGACATGACTTTAAAACCGGATTAGAGGCTCACCTCCTCCTTACAGCATCTGCAGCAGGCGCAGCGAAGGAGAGGAGCCCTCGGCATCGGGGGAACACCACTCCTCCCCTCCCGAAGCACACGGGGCGATGCTTTTTAAGAAGCTCGCAGCAGCACCGCGCCCGCAGGACCCCGGGGGAGCACTTAGGCTGAGAATGAGCAATGACTCACCCGAGACGATCACTCTGTACTCCGAGCGCCGGGACGGGGGGCCGTACCTGCCCCGGGGGGCTCCTCCCCCTCCGCCGCCGCCGCCGCCTCTGCCGGTGCCGCGGCCGCTCCGAGGGAACTCCACGCGGAGGCGATACCCATCGTAGTCGTAGCCGTCCCGCCCGTAGACGGCGTCCTCCGCGTCCCTGCGGGCGGCACGGGGCGGGCGGTG